CAATGTGGAAGGTACACAATCAAAATGTTGCTTTTTTGCTCTCTCTTTTTTGTTTTCTTTGGAGTTTGGACTGTTGGGGTTTATGCAATGTTCTATGCTTAATGCTTTGCAGGAACTAAGAATGTAATTGATGCTTGTACTGAGCTAAAAGTAAAGAGACTTCTCTATACTAGCTCTCCTAGTGTTGTCTTTGATGGGATTCATGGGATTTTTGATGGGGAGGAGTCTTTGCCATATCCGCCTAAGGTACTAGTATTGCTAATTGAATGAATCTCAGCAATGCAAGATTGTACTTCAGTACGTCTATAATTCTGGGTTGTGTTGTATGACTGGTTTCAGCACAATGATTTCTATTCGGCAACTAAAGCCCAAGGAGAAGAATTGGTAATCAAGGCAAATGGTGTTAAGGGGCTTCTAACATGTTGTATACGCCCTAGCAGCATTTTTGGACCTGGTGATAGGTTGCTGGTTCCATCTTTAGTGGTTGCCGCCAGAGCAGGGAAATCCAAGGTAAGTAAGTTGGTGGTATACTTCACACATTCGTCTTCCTTGCAACAGTGTTAATAAAGTCCTCCTTCAACAATATCTAATGCTCACTTTTTTCTCTTCTTTTTTCGAATGAACAGTTCATTATTGGTGATGGCAATAACATTTACGATTTCACATATGTTGAAAACGTGGCACATGCCCATATATGTGCAGAGAGAGCTCTAGCATCAGAAGGGACGGTTGCAGAAAAAGCTGCGGGACAGGTATTCCAACACTATATGTATTCCACTGAAATAAAGATTAGAGAGAGACTTCGACCAAAAAAAAAAAAAAAAAATAGAGAGAGAGAGAGAGAGATTTCAGTTTTCTTTTTCTTTGCTTAATTTTTATCTTCTTCCAAGTCCAACTTTCTTATATGGGGGGAATCAAACAATTCCAACTTTAAGTGCAATTGTTTTACCGTGAGGCTTGCATTTAAAAGATGGCAGAGTCTTGCATCCTTATGTTTGCTTTAAAAGATTGGCAGTCTTTTAAAAGTTACTTCGCATGTCCACTTGATGTCAAGCTAAAGTATACAGAGACTATTTTGGCATTTCTGGCTAAAAGAGACTGCTTTTGCAGGCATATTTTATAACCAATATGGAACCTATCAAGTTTTGGGAGTTTGTCTCACTTATTCTAGAAGGTCTTGGCTATGAAAGGTACTTCTTTTTCTTAATCCTTTCATTTTAAGCACACCTGGGATGTAATCACTGTAGTCGTCCATCACTACTAAAAGAATGATGTATATCCTAACTTACACCTCAGAGCCTATGTTTAATGGCCCTTCTTCATGCTACCTGTAAGGCTTTAATTCCTATTTTTTATATAATTGAATAACCTGCAATTTTTGTTTCTTGGTTTCCATTTTCCCTGAATGGGTGTTGTTTGCAGGCCAAGAATAAAAATCCCTGCCTTTGTTGTGATGCCAATTGCACATGTGGTGGAGTGGACATATAAGCTGTTAGGCCCATATGGAATGAAAGTTCCACAGTTGACCCCTTCAAGAGTTAGACTCCTCTCTTGCAGCAGATCTTTTAAATGTTCAAAAGCACAGGATCGAATCGGCTACACACCCATCGTATCACTTCAGGTTCTATAATGTTTCACATATAGAGTCATAAGTCCTTTTGTTAATGAATTGAATTGCACTTAGCAGAGTCAATGGAACATCCAACCACATGCATCCACCTTGATTTTATACCTCTCCACTTTTAATCAGCAGATTATTGAATTCAACAACATTATGAGAAAGTCCTTAGACAAGACCATGCATGCTATTTTGGGGTTCAGACTCGGACTCTATTAATACTTCATTTCTTCTACTTCATTGGTCTTCATTTCTTAATCAACATGTCACTTGACACTGGGAATACAATATTTTACATTTTGTCTTCTTTTTTTTCATACCTATATCGCCTTTTCATGTTGCATGACGGCTGACCTGCTTGGTTATTTGGTATTTGATGAATTCATATAGTGAGCTAGCAAAAAGTTAACCATCATAAGTTAGAGTTTTAATACTTTGAGCCAGCTATAAATACACTTCAAGCATCTGTCTGAATGAAAGTTGCCAGTATATGCCGGGAAATTGTGAATCTTTGATTAGGATGTTGTTTGTGCTGTGATTAAAGTAGAGAATATTGCGTCAAACATCTCTCTTATTGTTTTGCACTTATTAATGAGGCTTTATAAAGGTCTAAGCAGTCAGCCTGTCACTGTACATTTTGGCCCAAATTCTGGTTTAGGTACTTCTCTTGTGACAATGTGATGCATACTTTCTGCAGGAGGGTCTGAAAAGGACAATCGAGTCATACCCACATTTGAGGGCTGAACAACCACGTAAAAGAGAAGGGCCGTCTAAAGCTTCTATATATCTTGGAAGCGGGATGGGTATGAATCATCAGTTTCTATTCATCTTATTTGATGTTTTCTAAAGGTTCACCAAAAACAGGCATAATGACATCCTTATGATTGAGTCGGCATGAGAGAATAACAATATGCATGCACTCAAATATTGCACTAAATGAAGCAATGCATTTACTGCTGTTGCCTTTGACAGTTGCTGACACGTTACTCTGGAAGGATAAAAAGCAAACCTTCAAGGCGTTATTAGTTTTGATTGCAATCTACTACAACTTCATTGTAACCGGATCTACAATAATTACTATGCTTTCAAAGCTTCTCCTGGCAGCTTCAATATTTGTGTTCATCCATGGCAGTTTACCAGAAAAGATGTATGGCCTATGCCCTTCTAGTATATATTCATATGCTGCTTAGTTTGAAAACGTCTATTTTGCTCAGCTCTCAATTTGAAGTTAAGCTAACTACCAACTACAAATAAAATTTCACTGTTCCAGATTAGGGTATAAAATTCAGAAGCTTGATTCGTCACATTTCTACTTATCAGAAGAGACGTTGAAACAAATCACCAGATCGGTAGCCTCATCATGGAATGCATCTGTTAGAGCTTTAAAATCTCTTGGCAAGGGAAACGATGGGTTATTGTTCATTAAGGTATTGCTCTGCTGCTCCCATCTTCTTTTGTGCTTCTAGCTATCTATTCATTTGATTGCGTATAAGTTCATGTACTGCATTGATGCATTACTTTTAAGTTCTAACACTGGGATAGAGTGTGCCTAAAGAGGTCCAGGATGCATATACTAGTGAGACGCCATTTTCCCAAAACTTTCTCAAAGTAATTTATAGTGTTGCAGCTCTCTTCGTTTCTGATGGTTACTCTATATTTACCGGTGATGTTGTAGGTTGCTCTCTCCCTATTGGTTCTCAGCTTCCTTGGGACCATTTCACTTCGGAACTTATTTGTCATAGGTCTCTCTCTCTCTCGATCTCTCAAGTTACATATTTCTTTGGACTGCCATACTTACTCATTCTTTGGTAGTTGAGGCCTCAAAAAGTTTCTTTCTGCCCCGACTTGACTCTTAGTTTCCTTATTGTCTTATTGTTCCAGGGGTTCCTGCTGCCTTTGTAGTTTTCTACGTGTATGAGAAGGAAGAGCAAAAAATTGATGCCCTGGCCCTAGAAGCTCTCTCTCGTGGATGCAAATTGAAATCTGATATTGTGAGAAAAGTCTGCACATCCAAGAAGATTGAGTGACTGAGTGTTACAATAGTGCTACCTGCCACTGCTTGCCTCGTAATTCATAGAGAAAAAAGCACTGTTGGATGTGATTGTTGTGTCCCATATTTTCATTTCTTTTTTTTCTAACCAGGTTGCCATATTTTCTGTTCATATTCACCAAAGTATTTTCAGACTATATAATATCACTTTCCTAGCTATAAAATTTTTCTCCAACAAGACTAATAGCAAATATTATTATTATGCAATTTTGCTGGCATCAGCTCTCTTTCCGCCGTTCATTTCGATTACCATGACTATAAATTGCTTATCTAAATGGTTGCCATCGAGGCAGTCAACCACAAGATTATTTATTTGTTTTGGACAACGCTGAGCTGCTGATGGCACTATTTATTTATGGGTTGTACGTTACATCTCAACAGTTACTTCATATGACACTTTTACTTATTAAAGAATTTGGGTCAACTTTTAGGTGACGCAGAGGTGTCAAATTGGAGGAGATAATGGAAAAGGACTCTAATCTGAAACGACAGCAATTGAATTTCCAAGAACTCCTCCATCCCACTGAACCAAATAAATAACACAAACTTTTTTCTGTGATCACTGACCACAAAAACGTCCACCATGTTTCTTTCAAATGTGGTACCAACCAATGCGTTGTCAATTGTGTGCTTAAACTTTTTTATAGACCATCCTCCACCCAAATGACAGCACCTCTCTCTCCTCACCTCACCCTTTATATTATTATGTGAACCATTTCCAACCATCACTTATATAAATAGTTGATTAATTTTGAGAGAGACACAAGACTTGATTAGTGGGTTTGATTTCGTTGTCAATACATGTCATGAATCTAATCAAGATCAAGATGGTCACTTTAGCATTGAATTACTTGGTTTTGTTATTGTGATTGATTGTGTCTTGCATGCATGTATTAACACTTAATAGTCATTTTTCAGTCGATATCATGTTGATATACAAGTCCATCCATTTGATAATTTCATTTAAATAAGAAATACGAGACGCTATTTTTAGTTGCACAATTTGACCTAAATCACTACGAGACCCGCATTTAATTGATTAGAAATCATTCACGTGCGCTTGGGGTATTGACGTTAACAACATCCATATCCATATGCATATTTAGCTAAGCAGGACAATTGAAATCAATTTTTTTAGGTCAAGAAATTTAAATCAAATTAATTACCAAGTAATCAGGCTCATTTTGGTATTGTTGTCAGTGGTGGGGCCCGATTGGTTGTTGTGAGACCCAAACCCATAATGCAAGGGAGAGTGGTACAATTGTAGTTCCAGCGAAATTAGGGGCCCAATTGAGGAAACAAAAGCTTTTGACCGAGTGTGCTGCCTCTCTGTCTGTATATGGTACTTTGAATTTGCTTGCATTGCAATTCCCGTTTCTCTCACTTTTTATCTCGAACCCATTTTGCGAAAAAGGCAAATAAAGTAACTCAGAACTCATAAAAACAGAGCACGTCAATCAAAAAATCGATTTTTTCGCCCTCTAAAGACTCAACCTTTAGATTCATCCAGTAATTTCGTTTGTTCGGAAACCCAAAGAAAGCGAATTTACTATGCAGTCTTCAAAATTCACTCTTTGTCTGCACAGCCTCTGAATCTCACTCTTTTTCTCTGCCTCTTTCCTCACTGCCACTTTTGTTTGTTTATCTTCCCTTTCCAATAAGATTCTTATTCCTCCATCTTTGAAAACACTTTCACTTGTTTTTTCCTTCAATTTTTATTTCTGGGTCATTTCATTTCTTTCATTTCTTCAACTTAATTGGGTTTACTCAATTGTTAGTTTATTCGAAATATATTTTCCTTTTTTTTTCCCGCGCACCAATCAATTCCTGTTCCTTGTCCTTTTCCTTGGTTACCCTTTTAAGATTTGGTCGAGTTTCTCAATTTCAAGGAAAGCAGACATCAATCTCTCTGTCTCTAACAATTGTTTTGTAAGTTTTTATCAAAAAAATTGAACAGAGGCCTGGTGGTTAATGGTTAATTTGTAATGGGTGGTGGTGGTGGTAGAGTGGAAGTGGTAAAGAGCAACGGTTGCTCTAGGCTGTCTGTTGGGTTATCATCTCCATTGCCTTCTTTTAAAGCTCTGCAACCATTTGAGCCTGCGTCTCCGGCCTCATCCTCTATTGGGTCAGAGCCTGTGGTTCGATCAGGCGCACCCTTTGCCGGCCTTGTTATTTGCGTTACTGGTCTATCCAAAGGTAAAAAGATAAGCCTTCAACTTGTAGCTGCTTAGTTTTCTACGTGACGTATTAAATAAGTGTTATTGTTAAAATATGCAGCTGTTCATCTTTGTCATTCTTGTTTTGGCAGAAGCAAGGAAACAGGTCGAGGAAGCAACTGAGAGATTAGGTGGCCAGTACAGCCCTCACTTACATCCTCAATGTACCCATTTGGTGGTCCAAATATCCTTTCTTTTCAAAATTATGTTACTTCTAGCTTCATTTTCTTGGTATATTAAATATATAATTCGGGAGAAAAATCTCAATTTTCTTTGGCAGGGTTGACAGCAATGATATATGTGTTATACCGGCACCAAGAAGAAAATATTTAATACATTTGGTATTATTGTTTGTGTAAATTGTAAGGCTCGTGAGTCGTGTGCAATCCTTAACTAGTGTTACAGCTTTGGTGGACGCAAGTTTGAGCATGCTTTGAAGCATGGATTAAAAAATGGTCTGTCGATTGTTACGATTGGCTGGTTTGTGGATAGTGTTAGGAAGAATGGTAAGAGAGGCCAATGTATATTTTCTGCATTGGTTAGGTGAAACCCACTCAAAAATTATATGTTACTTGATTAGTCTAAATCCAGTTTCTTTTGTGTGTTGCAGTGAGGTTGAGTGAATCACTTTACAGTATCAAGAGTTTTGGACAGAATGGTATACGGTTGGATGAGTTCAACAGGCTTGTTGGGTTTATTGGTACAGAAAATTCGTGTATTCCTGTTGATGCTCGTGGAGCCAAGCCATTGGACACGATTGAAGAACCACATCTCCCCTTTTCTGGAAGAGAGTCTAACAGAATTACTGACTCTATTCTGTCTGGTCACTCCATGTATGTCGACTTAGACATTTCATCTGAACTGAGGAACAAGGTAAAGTTATTTCTAGGAAAAATTTGCTTAGTTTTTAAAACAATTTTTTTTTTCTTTCTTCTTGTTTTAGCTGTATAAGAAAGATTTGCTGGGTTTTTTTCCAATGTCAAACTAGATAATGGTGAGGTGAAGCCCTCTCAGTTTGTACAGTTTCCCTGAGCTTCTCTCAACATCATTTGTCCTATTTGGCAGGTTATTGAGGCTGCTCGTAGAGAGGGTGTTACGTTAATTGATCAATGGTTTGTTGGTTGCAGAGCAAGTCATGTAGTGTGTGAAGGCTCTGCTAGCCGTAAATATCTTGGCCACTCTAGCAATATCGTTACAGTGAGTCCTACAAAGAATCCTTTGGTTTATTTGAATCTGCACTATTTACACTCTAGTTTTATTGATGAATATACATAATAACTTTTTTGGCGTGAAGTGTTTTCACACACTTGACTATTTCGGATGTCCTTCTATAATAACTTTTTGCTGTTTTCATATTGTTCGTAGAATTGATGAAATCACTTGCAAATTTAGAGATGACGGAGTGCTCTGTATATTTCTTTTGTTGCAATGAACTTTATTTGGTGTTTGATTTGTCTCAGCCACTGTGGGTCTTGAAAACAGCCAAAGAGAAGTATGTGCAAAGGCTTGTGCACATGTCTGCAGATTTGGCCAGGCAAGTTGGTACGATGCTTGAAGAGTCGCAGAATGGCAGTGCAGATGAGGTTTCTTTCTACACATTTTCTGAAAATGATTTGTTTTGCAGTGATTTTTAACTCTCTTCTGCCCCAAACCCATGGTTTCAGGTCTAGATATTTTTATAATTTTTAACCAAAAAAGAAAAGAAAAAAAACTGTTAACAAGGTGAATCTTTTGCTGCTATGGTTTAACTTAAAATAATATACCTACGATAATTGAAAAGGTTTCACAATTATCTGAAATCTTAATAAACTCGTGATTGGTGGCTGGTGAATGCCTTTAAGCATTCTTCAAATGATAACATTTTTATATATGTAGTAATATGATTTTGGTTTGTCCAAGTTGTTATTTGACAATATTCTTTTATTGATTTACTAGGAAACGAATGTGCGAAATGTCCCTGAAGATGTTCAAGCTTATAAAAATAAAGCAAACCATGAAAAGAGACAACGAATTGTGAATTCTGCGAAAGCTGGGGTCAGAAATCGACGTGGTCTTCGTATGCAGGTAATGCTTGATCACGTTTGGTTCTCTGTGGTATTTCATCAATCCATGCTTCTTGTTTAGTTTGATATGATAATCACTTATGCACCATGGTTTTGCTCAAATTTAAACAATTACTTTATATCAGCTTAATTTGGAATGTATCACACAAATGAGAACATTGTAGTACAAGTTAACGGTCAGTTTTGTATTTGGCTACCTTTCTATTTGTTCATGTCTATTAGGGGCCTATGAGGAGTTTTCAGTGCTTGCATAATGTTAACAGCTTCAATGAACCGATTACATTTGTTGCTAATGGTAGTTTTATAAGAGAAAATAGGTGTACACCATTTTAATTATGTGCTCTGTTCTCGCAGACTTGCCAAACTCCAATGCGTCCAATAACCCCTAGCAGCCTTCTGGATTCAATCTGCTGGTCCATATCTGAACCAACTTCAACGGTGTCAATCTACACCGAGAATGTCAGTGTTGAAGATGCTACTGAGCACCATACATCTGTATTCTTTGATGCAAAAGCTGATGGCAAGGATTCAGAAGCTTCATTTGCAAACTTAACGAGGCTGCTCAAGGAAAGGTTGTTGATCTCTCTCTTCCTTCCCACCCCCAACCCCCTCACAAAATGTAAAAGAAAATATTTGCCCAAATGTTATATCATCTCACAGTAGTTCTCTTTTATTTGTTTGTCTGCAGTGAGAAATCTGAATTGATATTTAAAAATCATTTTCTTACCATACTGTTCCCTCTTGACCGATTCGCTGAGATGGGGCCATCTTCCAGAACATTTTTCAGCAATAATGGGTTTACATGCTTGCAGGTGTTGGATCATATCTATGCATTTTATCAGGTACAAAATAAGACATTCCCTACTTTTTGGTACTTTGCTGCAAAATTCTCAGCCATTGGCTTAATGGAGGGTCGTATACTCGCATGTGTATTTATATTGCAGGAGAGCATGTCAGTCCATGAAATAGAGGCTGCTATTAACACAGACTCAAGGCATGCCGATCGACTCCGATCAGTGTACTCCAGTAAAGAAACAGCAGAACATGGTTACGTGAGTTTCAAACGGATTGAATTTCTAGGTAGTCGTAAAAGTTTCGAGATGTTGAAGCGTGTCAACGGAGACAACAACAGCAATGTATATGAGCTGCTAATTAGAGCCTAAGATCATCTTCACCTCACGTGTTCCAAATTAGGAGCATGTTTTTGCTATGGTTGAACCTTTGAAGAAACTCAAACTAAGAACTTGGAACTTGAAGGCCATGATATCAAAAGCTTCTACCGTCTTCATTCAGGAAGAGTTTCAAATTTTCTACT